AGTTTGGGCTCTAATTCAAGATAATTCCTTCCCACATGCTCAGATCTGACCCTACCCTGTCCTTGGTGTGACAGAGGAAATGAACACAAGAAAATGTGCCATACAAGGGCAGGGCCCAGCAAAGAGACCAGCAAAGAGCCCATTGAATATAGGGCTATTTTCAACATTAGTTGTGGTACCTGCAGGAACCATGTGAAGGTTGCCACCTTGCTTCTCCCCACCTGGCTAAAGGCCAATGCCTAAAGAAGGGAAAATCTTCCTTACCTCAGGGCTGCCTTTTCTGCCTATCTGACTTCCTGCTATTTCCTCTTTAATGACCGACTCACTTCTCCTTTCTTGCCCTTATATATACTGCTCTTTTTTGACAAAGGAAGTCTGGATCCTACATATTTGGATGTCCATGTTCTTATTCCATATTAATTCTCATTATCTCATACCTAGTCTTCTTTCTCCACACTAGACTTGTTTCTTTTTTTTAATTTTTAAATTTTTTTAATTCTTATGTTAATCCCCATACATTACATCATTAGTTTTAGATGAAGTGTTCCATGATTCATTGTTTGTGCATAACACCCAGTGCTCCATGCAGAATGTGCCCTCCTCAATACCCACCACCAGGCTAACCCATCCTCCCACCCCCGTCCCCTCTAGAACCCCATTTGTTTTTCAGAGTCCACCGTCTCTCATGGTTCGTCTACCCCTCCGATTTCCCCCGCTTCACTCTTCCCCTCCCGCTACCCTCTTCTTCTTCTTCTTTTTTTTTTCTTAACATATATTGCATTATTTGTTTCAGAGGTACAGATCTGAGATTCAACAGTCTTGCACAATTCACAGCGCTTACCAGAGCACATACCCTCCCCAGTGTCTATCACCCAGTCACCCCATCCCTCCCACCCCACTCCCCACTCCAGCAACCCTCAGTTTGTTTCCTGAGATTAAGAATTCCTCATATCAGTGAAGTCATAGGATACATCTAGACTTGTTTCTAATAACTTTGTTCATTCATCATAACACATTGGAATCTGGGGGCTTAGCACAGAGTCTGCTTTGGTGTTCATGACTCTGCACTCCTCAAAGCCAGATTGAAGTGGCGGACCCCTTCAACATGGCTGGTGTACCCATACCCCAGCATCTGTGAGTGTTGGCTGCTAAAGCCTCACAGCTGCACCCCTCTCAGAATTACCCTGAGATGCAGTGCAACCTCCCCTACAGTGTTACCTGAATGGCCAGTGTCCAATGATGACTGAAACGGAGTCTGGAAGCCCAGCCTGTTGTCTCAGTGAGATGCTAACTATCCTGCAGGGTGTGTACCAGGGCCCCCTGTGGGACTGGGCCAAGACCACATCCTTGCCTAGCATCTTTCCCTTGCCCTCCCTGCCTCCCTCACTCCCTCTCTCCTGAGAGTTCTCTCTCACTAGAACACTGTGGAAGCTTCCCCATCTCAGGCTCTGCTCCAGGGAACTGGACCCAAAACACCAACAGTTTTATTTAATAATGGACATGAGGCTCAGCAGAAAAGACATAAGACCTCAAATCTGAGCTGCCAATATCTGATACTCCTGTCATCAAAGACACCTCTGAATTAGAGTGTGGGGTCCCTTCAGTACCATGTGCTTGGGGCTGGACACAGGAAGTGGGGGCTTTCCCAGTGTGCCATTATCCCTGAACCCTTAGGAATTCATTTATTACCACTGAGAATGATACCAGGTTTGCCTGCCTGCCTCCTCTCTCACCCTCCCTCCCTTCCCTATTGGTTTCTTCTCATTTCTTTTCCTTTCTTTTCTTTTTTCTTTTCTTCTCTTTTCTCTTCTCTCCTCTTCTCTTTCCTTTTCCCTTTCCTCCCTCCCTCTTTCTCTCTCTTTCTTTCTCCCTTCCTCTTTCTTTCTTTTTACTATAACTGTAGCGAGAATGGATTTTTATTTTTTATTTTATTTTTAAAGATTTTGTTTACTTATTTGACAGAGAGAGAGAGAGAGAGAGCACAAGTAGGCAGAGTGGCAGGCAGAGGGAGAGGGAGAAGCAGATGCCCCACTGAACAGAGAACCTGATGCGGGGCTCAATCCCAGGACCCTGGGATCATGACCTGAGCCAAAGGCAGCTGCTTAACCAACTGAGCCACCCAGGCGCCCTGAGAATGAATTTTTAAGGTGATGTTGCTAATGTGTGATTCTCCTCTCCCTTCAAATACTTCAGTTCCCTCCTCAGAATCAGAAAGGGTACATACTGTACACACTCACAAAGAAAGGAGAGGTGACCTGACTCCTGAGATTCTGGGATGAGAATTTGTAGACAAGATACTTGTTTACTTCCTTCTCTTCTGAGAAGACTTTGTGGTTAGATGTAACATAGGAGTTGAGAGTAGGAGATTTGGAGATACCATGCTTGGATTCCAAGGCTCCTATATTACTATGGGGTGATTTTAGGTGATTTTATTAAATTTTTCTGATTTGAAAATGGGCAATGATAGTAACATCTCTATTTTTTTTAAAGAGAAGGTAGTAAGTTAAAATATGTACTAAGAACAGTGCTTTTCTCCCTTGATTCTATATATGTGACACAAATGGAAGAGCCCGTGATACTTCCCCCAGCCCTTGACTCTCAGAGTTTATGCTTAGAATGAAAAAATCATTTGTTTTCCAAGCCAGGACTATTTAGCATAAAAAGGGGCTTTAATCAAACTCTGCAGGGTACATTTTTGCCTTTCTCATTCAATATTTCCATGTCTCTTGTTCAGTGAGAATGCTGTCTCCCAAAATCAACACATTTATTCCTTTGCTCAGTGCAGTAAAAATTTATTTCTTATTTATTTTTTTAGTGCAGTAAAACATTTTTTAAAAGATTTTATTTATTTGAGAGATAGAGAAAGTGGGAGGAGGAGCAGAGGGAGGGGGATAAGCAGACACTGCACTGAGCACGGAGCCCGATATGGGGCTTGATCTCACAATCCTGAGATTAGGACATGAGCCAAAATCAAGAGTCGGATGCTTGACTGACTGAGCTGCCCAGGCACCCCTAGTGCAGTAAAACATTTAAAATCGTTTCTGAATTGCTTCATCCATACTATTACAGATAACAAAACTGCTAAAGGGAGTTCGGGATTTATTTGCAGTTAGTTTGCATTTCTCTACCTTCTACCTTGCCCAGGACTGAGGGAATGTATTCAAGTATTATATTCAGAGTTTTTGTTTGTTTGTTGTTATTCTTTCTTCATTGTGGTTATGGCAGTCATTGAAAGACAACTGGATTCATTTGTTTCAGTTTTAGCTTTTTTATCCCTTCCCATCCTTGGTGATTTTATAAAATTTTATTTTTGGAAAATGTAGAACATTAACATGGTCCAAAAACTCAAAAGTATATACAATTTTTATTTTCAGAGAAATGTCCTTCCCTCCCTTAACTCTTTTAAAAGTCTGTGAGTGTGTCTTTTCCATCCCTGACTGGTTATCTCTTTCTTGTGGAAAGGTCACAACAAAGCTCTGGTTGGTGCCCTTGAGTGTAAGGAGAGGAGAGGCAAAGAGCTGGAGGTCAGAAAGCCCCAGGTTCCACAGAACCCCTAAGGATCACCCTGTTTGCTCACACTCTGTTACCAAACCCCAAGTTGGGCTGCCCAGTGATTTGAAAGGCCAATACTCAAGAAACAGTTTTTATTGTGAAGGAATTTGAGATTTATTCAGGAGGCCAGCCACCTGGGGAGAAGGTGGGCTGTTGTCCAAAAGCCAACTCCAAGGTTTCTGCCTGGCCCAAGGGTTTTTAAAGGAGTTTAGGGCAGGGCGCCTGGGTGGCTCAGTTGGTTAAGCGACTGCCTTCGGCTCAGGTCATGATCCTGGAGTCCCGGGATCGAGTCCCGCATCGGGCTCCCCGCTCAGCGGGGAGTCTGCTTCTCCCTCTAACCCTACCCGCTCTTGCGCTCTCTCTCTCACTCTCTCTCTCTCTCAAATAAATAAATAAAAATCTTTAAAAAAAAATAAAGGAGTTTAGGGCAGTTAATCATAAAGGGAGTGCAGTAGTCTGTAACATTTTTTTTTAAAGATTTTATTTTTAAGTAATCTCTACACCCAGCGTGGGGCTCGAACTCACAACCCTGAGATCAGGAGTCACAGGCTCCACTCACTAACTGAGCCAGCCAGGCACCCCTGTAACATTTCTTCATTATGTGCAGACTCGATGGTGCCAGGTACAAATACATCTCAGTGCTCAGGGGTTGTATGAGGGGGTCTGGTTCCTGTTTTGTGATGTGTAGGGGTACTCTTCTTTTTTCTTTTTTTAAAAGATTTTATTTATTTATTTGTCAGAGAGAGAGGAGAGAAAGAACACGGCAGGCAGAGGGAGAAGCAGACTCCCTGCTGAGCAGGGAGCCCGATGTGGGACTCGATCCCAGGACCCCGGGATCATGACCTGAGCCGAAGGCAGACACTTAACAACTGAGCCACCCAGGCGCCCCAGTTTTTTCCCTTTTGTCTTGACAATATTTACCAATGTTAGACTGATTTATATATCTTTTATATTTTTGTCAATTATAGAATTATTTTTATTTCTATTTCATTAATTTATTATATTATCTTCAATGATATCTTCCTATTACTGTCTTCAGTAAAATTTAGCAAAATGCATAGGTTAATTTTAAAATGTTTTTCTCAGTTTTATTCCATAAGATCTGTTAAATCAGGCAGGCTGATGATGTTATTCACATCCTCTATATTTTATCTATTTTTGTGAACTGAGTGGCATTCTCAAATAGAAATCTGTTAAACTCCATCTTCTGTCCTTATATTTCCTAATGCTTTTTATGCGTAAAGAGGCAACTGTCAATTCAAAATCCTACAGGGTTGATCCATTAACATGAATAGATAAAGCTGGTTTAATGAAGGCTATTATGAATTACAGGGTGCCTGCCTCAGGCAATGGAGTTGACATTATCTAGCTCCAACAACCATTTAACATGGGAGAACACTGGCCAGGACCATAGCATTTTCTAATTTTTAAAGAGAAACAAAAGCTCCAGATTGTTTAAAAGTTGGCATATAATCTAAAATTTTATTTATTTATTTATTTATTTATTTATTTATTTATTTATTTATTTATTTATATTTAAATTCAACAGCCAACGCGGAGTACATCATTAGTTTTTATTGTAGTGTTCAATGATTCATTAGTTGCATATAACACCCAGTGCTCATCACATCATGTGCCCTTCTTGATGCCCATCACCCAGTTACTCCATTCCCCCACCCACCTCCCTTTAAAATATTTAAACTACAGAGTGGGAAAGGGAAGTGAAATATTGGGGCTATTTTCTGCTATTCTGTAGCCTATGTTTAGAAAAATGTCGTCACTCATAAATATGCATCCACATATCCTAAATAAAATGCTAGCAAATCATATATACTTGGAAGGGAACCAGCTTACTTTTTCAGAGTAGTTTGAATCAATATTCGTATATCCAATAATATGAAGTAGGATTTTGCAAATATGAGTAAAGGTGAAATTTGTTAATATTGAATTTGCCACACTAAGGAAAGTAATACACATATTCTTTCTCTCTAGATTATCTGGCTTTGAAACTCCTTTTGGACATTGACATTATGGCTTCTTATGAGTTGGTAATGGGGATTCTCCTCCTCTTCCAGACTGTAGTTGGGCTTCTAGGGAATTTCTTATTCCTATGTTTTTATATATTGACTTTGTTCACTAAACATACTCAGAGACCTACAGATCTAATTCTCAACCAATTGGCCTCAGCCAACCTTCTAGTCCTTCTCTCTAGGGGAATCACTCAGACACTGGCAGCTTTTTGTTTGGACTATTTCCTGGGAGAAGCTGTGTGCAAGATTACCTTTTATACTCATAGGGTGGCCCGAGGCGTTTCTCTATGCACCACCTGCCTTTTGAGTGGCTTCCAGGCTTTCACTATTAATCCTAATAATTCCAGGTGGACAGTACTCAAACTGAAGGCTCCTAGATTTGTTCAACCCTCCTGTTGCCCCTGTTGGATTCTTCATCTCCTGATAAATATCGTTGTGCCAGTGAAAGTGACTCATCCAGGGAATACTATAAACATTACAAAAATGAATTTTGGACTAGGTACTACAGAAGGGTCTCATTCATCCATAAGCTCTATGCATTCCTCTTTACCTTCCTTGATATTTTGTGTTTGGGACCAATGGGTTGGGCCAGTGGCTCCACAGTGCTCTTCCTGCAAAGACATAAGCAGAGAGTCCAAAACCTTCACCACACCAGTCTCTCTTCCAGAGCCTCCCCAGAGACCACTGCCACTCACACTGTCCTGCTTCTGGTGAGCTCATTTGTTTCTTTTTATTTTCTATCCTCCATCTTATCACTCTATATGACTGGCTTTGTCACCCAAAGCCTGCAACTCATGAACATCAGTGCATTCCTGGCTGCTTGTTTTTCAGCTTTTAGCCCCTATCTCTTCATCAGCCCTGACATTCAAATCTTAAGAATCTACTTTGTTAGTTGTAAGACAAAAATCTCCAAATAGTCTCTTTACAAACAGCTACCATTCATTCAACAAATTTTTAAGTACAAAATATTCGACAACTGTGGGTCTAACTGTAGACTCATTTAAAATTTATCCTGGTTGTTTTTCTTCCTTTCTTTCTTTCTTTTCTTTCTTTCTTTCTTTTCTTTCTTTCTTTCTTTCTTTCTTTCTTTCTTTCTTTCTTTCTTTCTTTCTTTCTTTCTTTCTTTCTTTCTTTCTTTTCTTTCTTTCTTTCTTTCTTTCTTTCTTTCTTTCTTTCTTTCTTTCTTTCTTTCTTTCTTTCTTTCTTTTCTTTCTTTCTTTCTTTCTTCTCTCTTTCTCCCTTTCTCCCTTTCTCCTTTTCTCCCTTTCTCCCTTCCTTTCTTTTTTTTTTAAGATTTTATTTATTTGACAGAGAGAGCAAGGCAGGCAGAGGGAGAGGGAGAAGCAGGCTCCCTACTGAGGAGGGAGCCCAATGTGGGTCTTGATCCCAGGACCCTGGGATCATGACCTGAGCCAAAGGCAGACGCTTAACCAACAGAGCCACCCAGGTGCCCCTATCCTGGTTGTTTTTCAATGTGAGATTTCAGTCCTGTGATTTAGTTTTCTAAATGCATTAATTTTCTCATTGAATATTGCCTTCCAATACAACAAAATATGTTTTCTTCTCTGCAGAAACTGCATAATCCAAGAAAAAAGGGCTCACTTATATTAACACTTGGGGTTACCCTAATGAGATGGCAGGGCCTATATAATAATACTAATGGAAGGCCCACCTGATACTCTTCATGCCCTACCATGCATGATTTGAATGTGCTTTTAAAGGCCTCATCCTTTGGGGCACCTGGGTGGCTCAATCGGTTAAGTGTCCGACTCTTGACTTCAGCTCAGGTCATGATCTCAGGGGTGTGAGAGTGAGCTCCATGTCGATCCCGGCATTGGGCACTGCACTGAGTGTGGAGCCTGCTTGGGATTTTCTCTCACCTTCTCCCTCTGCCCCTCGCCCTGCTCTCTCTCAAAAAGTAAATAAATAAATTAATTTAAAAAATAAGGGCCTCATCCTTTAATATCGATCAGCCAAAGACCAGCAAGCACTTGAAGAAACATTCTACCTTGAAAGGAAAACACAAAGACAAACAGATGGGGGTGGGGAAGGGATAGTAACATGGAAAAAACAAACCATATTAAGGAAGGAGAATAAAGTTCTACAATTTGTAAGTAATATTGTTGATGAGATATGAAACTATTGCATGCATAGGTAAGGGTAGGATGCTATTAAAATGAATAAGAGAAGACTAAAAGGACCTTTCGGGAATTAGGACCACTACAGAAGAGATAAAGTACTCAGCAGAGTGGTTTGGAAGGTAATATGGAGCAACCTCTAGGAAATTGGAAGAAGGGAAACGAACTTAGAAACATTAGAAAAATAGCAAAACTTTTCTGGCAGTGAATATCTGAATAATAGATTTCTAAAGAGCAACATTGAAAACTGGAAGGCAAGGGAGCAATGCTGCCAAACTTCTGAAATAACGATTTCTTTTTTTTTTTTTTTTAAGATTTTATTTATTTATTTAACAGAGAGAGACACAGCGAGAGAGGGAACACAAGTAGGGGGAGTGGGAGAGGGAGAAGCAGGCTTCTCGCGGAGCAGGGAGCCTGATGCGGGGCTCGATCCCAGGACCCTGGGATCATGACCTGAGCCGAAGGCAGACGCTTAACCAACTGAGCCACCCAGGTGCCCCTGAAATAACGATTTCTAAACTAAAATTGGATACCTGTCAAACTAAACTCAGGGATGATTTAGAATAGAGATATTCTCAGGAAGGCAAGTTCTCAAAATGTTCTATTAATGCCTTTCTAGGAATTACTGAAGGCCAAACTCTGTAAAGGAAGTAAGTGAAGACAGTAAGTAAGACAATATGGACCCTGGAAACTGGAGATTCAACCCACCCAAAATGCTAATGAGATCTGTTTAATGGTAGAGAAAGGCAAACCTAGGTTAACAGCTATAAAGCCAGCCTAGAGATTACACAGTCAAACTCGTGGCAGAGGAATGTATTGAAGAAGAAAATTAAATTGATAGAATTCCTGACATGTTCTATTAAAAATTTGGGAACAAATAAATAGTTTGTATATGGAGAAGCCAAGCATATTAAAATACATTAATTCTAATTTGGGGAAATTAAAATTGGCATGAGATGACCCAGCAATTGCACTACTGGGTATTTACCCCAAAGATACAAATGTAGGGATCCGAAGGGGTACGTGCACCCCAATGTTTATAGCAGCAATGTCCACAATAGCCAAACTGTGGAAAGAGCCAAGATGTCCATCGACAGATGAATGGTTAAAGAAGATGTGGTATATATATATACAATGGAATATTATGCAGCCATCAAAAGGAATGAAATCTTGCCATATGCAATGACGTGGATGGAACTGGAGGGTATTATGCTGAGTGAAATAAGTCAATCAGAGAAAGACATGTATCATATGACCTCACTGATATGAGGAATTCTTAATCTCAGGAAACAAACTGAGGGTTGCTAGAGTGGTGGGGGGTGGGAGGGATGGGGTGGCTGGGTGATAGACACTGGGGAGTATGTGCTATGGTGAGTGCTGTGAATTGTGTAAGACTGTTGAATCACAGACCTGTACCTCTGAAACAAATAATACATTATATGTTAAAAAAAAAAAAAAGAAGATAGCAGGAAGGGAAAAATGAAGGGGGGGAAATCGGAGGAGGAGACGAACCATGAGACACTATGGACTCTGAGAAACAAACTGAGGATTCTAGAGGGGAGGGGGTGGGGGGATGGGTTAGCCTGGTGATGGGTATTGAGGAGGGCACATTCTGCATGGAGCACTAGGTGTTATGCACAAACAATGAATCATGGAACACTACATCAAAAACTAATGATGTAATGTATGGTGATTAACATAACATAATAAAATAAAATAAAAAAATAAAATTGGTATGAGAATAGAAATGTAACATGAAACCTCCTATAGCTGAGCAGTTAACAGTCATAATAGATAAACATTGATCATTTATTTGACCAAAATATATGTATTTAAGCCAGTGTGGAGGGTTTACTTGCTATTCTATCAAATACATCTCTAAATGATACACTAGCAAATATAATTGAAATATATTAGCTATGCCCGACCCCCAGGCTCAGTCCTGTGAGCTGGATCGGGGACCTCTCTGTCTCCACCTCCACTTTCAGCAGGAAGTTTTCATCAGATTTCCTCTGATTTACCCAGAGGAATGGGAATGTGAATGTGTATGTGAAAATGAAGTGCACTGCAAAGAAATGTGGAATTAGGTTCCAGCCTCCAGCTCTTAATCTGTGAGAATGAAATGAAGGGGAAAAGTCACCAACACATCATGCCAGTCTGATACTTTTCAAAGTTTTCAGATTGCAGCAGAGCTGCTGAACAATTAAAGAATAATCCACAACACAAGAATTACCTGGAACAAGTATCCCTGAGACATCTAGAGAAGTTATTCACTTTTTTACGAGGTTACTTGTGGGGGCAAAGTCTGGCAAAAACAGTGGAACAAATTCAACAGGAAACAACCACTGATCCTGTGGAAGACTTGAATAAACTAGATGACAAAGAACTTGCCAAAAGAAAGAGCATCATGGATGAACTTTTTGAGAAAAATCAGAAAAAGGATGATCCAAATTTTGTTTATGACACGAAGCTGAGTTCTCGCAAGATGAACTGCAGTCTTGTGGCTCAGACACAGAGTCAGCTGATGAGTTCTGATATAAAAAATTTAAAAAATGTATTGGGATAGCAGAAAATCTATGTTTATACAAAAAATATTAGGGGCACCTGGGTGGTCCAGATGGTTAAGTGTCTGCCTTCGGCTCAGGTCATGATCCCAGGGTCCTGGGATCAAGCCCCACATCAGGCTCCTGGCTCAGCAGGGAGCCTGCTTCTCCCTCTCCTTCTGCCTCTCCCCCTCCTCATGCTCTCTCTCTCTATCTCTGTGTCTCAAATGAATAAATAAAATCTTTAAAAATATATATAAACATTGTTCTAGAAAAATCTGTAAGGAACACTAAATGTACATGTTGGGTCACGTTTGGATCGACTGTGTTACTTTTCAAAACCAGGACATGAGGAGTATCTACTATGTAGATGCATGAGGAATTCAGGGAAAACTGAGTATAAGAATCTGCCTTTAAGGAGCTTACGATCTGGGACACCTGGGTGGCTCAGTCGGTTAAGCATCTGCCTTCGGCTCAGGTCATGATCTCAGGGTCCTGGGATCGAGTCCCACATCCGGCTCTCTGCTCAGTGGGGAGCCAGCTTCTCTCTCTGCCTGACGCTCCCCGTGCTTGTACGCTTTCTCTCTCTCTCTGACAAATAAAATCTTTTTTTTAAAAAAAGGAAGCTTACGATCTAGGGATGCCTGGGTGGCTCAGTAGGTTAAGCGTCTGCCATTGGCTCAGGTCATGATCCCAGGGTCTTGGGATCGAGTCCCGCATCTGGCTCCTTGCTCAGTGGGGAGCCTGCTTCTCCCTCAGCCTCTGCCACTTTCCCTGCTTATGCTCTCTCTCTGACAAATAAAGTTTTTTTTTTTAAAAAGGAGTTTACAGTTTAATTGGAAGATAAGTCAAAAACTTGTGAATAGCTAATTAACAGTATTAGGCAGAAAAAAAATTACAGCCAAATGCTTGATAAAGGTTAAAGAGGGCAGAGTCGTCAGGGAAGACTCTGTCCCTAGAAATGGTAGTGTTTGGTTAGAAATTTATATAGAATTCCAGATTACAGGGGCGCCTGGGTGGCTCAGTTGGTTAAGCGACTGCCTTCGGCTCAGGTCATGATCCTGGAGTCCCGGGATCAAGTCCCGCATGGGGCTCCCTGCTCAGCGGGGAGTCTGCTTCTCCCTCTGACCCTCCCCCCTCTCATGTGCTCTCTCTCTCTCTCATTCTCTCTCTCAAATAAATAAATAAAATCTTTAAAAAAAAAAAAAAAAAGAATTCCAGATTACAGAAACCAGGAGAAAAAAAAAGGGAGAGGTGGGTAGTGGTAAAGAGATAGGGATTAGAACATTTTATTTGAGGAACAGTAAGCAATTTATAGTTTGATAAAATTAGAGGGCATATATGGTTCCCAGGGGATTATCCTGTATGCAGTATGTCTTTTTCCCCCTCAAAATTTTCTTGGCTATTTTATTCTTTCAGGCAAGATTCAG